GACGGCAGCGCGGGCTGCAGCGTCCCAGAGGTGGTTCGTTGCATGGGCGCGCCCAGCTGTGTACGATACGCGACTTGTGCTGTCGTTGCTTCGCTTGCGTCATGCGGCTATATAGACGTAAAGGATAATTCAACCAGCTGCTACTTTCTTTTTCATTTTTTTTTTGGGGGGGGGGGACTGTTCTCCACTCGAAACGTACACCTTCCAGTGAACTACTTCTGTATGTGTCTTCTCTCGTTAACAGATTTAGGGTGAACTGTAATGTAGCGCGCAATAGAAAAATGAATCCATTATCCAGCCTCCAGTGTCAGCAAATCGCATTGATTTACGATGCAGATGGAGCCCCGATCCACAGAACAGCGACGAATTAACGACGATGCAGTCTGACGTTACTACATGGTAAAAAAAAATCGTCAAAGAATCGCACAATTCTGGTGGCTCAGTTCTGACATGAAAATAGTTATTTTGAAAACACTATCGTTATTCATTTATGGCAGAAAACATTCCTAGTGTTACTACAACAGACCAAAACCAACGGTCTTCTCAATCTCGACTTTTTTTTTTCACCTAAAGTGACACGCATCTATATACGTCAACCTGACGTCACGCAAGTTAGAAGCGCCTTCTGACGTTTCGGTCATTTTTCGCGTCACGAGAAAGGCAGCTGGCCACCCTGGGGCTTGACACGTATAGCCTTTTGTTGTAACCGAACGCGATTCGTTGCCATTATTCAATCATAAACGGTTGGTAGCAGGTCACACAGTATATAGACGCTGTCAGCAAAGAAGGCTTCAAATTTTAAACCAAGCAGCTCATGACACCACTGCCTCACACATTTATCTCAAGAGATTAAAACTCTTTTCAAGTTTCAAAGAAACAAGAACTTTATTGAGCGCCACATGTAAACAATATAACACAGTACTTGCGCGTGAAAACCAGTGGTCTTCGTTGAACACGAACGATCGCGGTCAGCAGAATTCACAGAACAACTTTTATGCGTTCCAGCGATGACATTCAATATCATATCTACAGATGGAGTGCAGCGAATTTCCGAAAGTCCAAATATTTCCGTTGAGCGCTGCCGAGGACGTTCTCAGAAGTGCGCAAGACGGCTTTGAGGACGTCTTTCAGAAGGCGTAACTCCCCCAGATCGTGATTTTCTAGAGAAGCAAAAAAAAAAAAAACAAGTACAAGTAGTACTGTTTGTACAAGTAGTAGTAGTACAAGTGGTTAGTAGGAGAATTCTCTGTAACCATTCAAACGGGCGAGGTAAACCCATTTGAACCACATGGGTCAGCTTCGCTTGACCAAGTAAGAGGCACACCTTTCGTTCATATGGTGAACTCAATGGTGGATTGTTTCTTTTCTATGCCGACAAATGTAGATGAGCCGTCATTAAGGGTCTGCAGATCATGTTTAACAATAAGCTCACTGATTTCCACTCCACCAATGTCTTGTGGGCGACAACACCAACCAGGATAATGGTCATTGAAATCTCCCCACAGCAAAAATGACGAGCCACACCAAAATAGCAGACACTCCAACAATGCGATGTCCGAAGATCGCGTTGGCCGAAACATTATGCTTGCTACAGTCGTATTTGTGTTTCTGAGATTATTAGCAACTGCTACACATTCGAAGTCGGTGTCGCAGAGGTTACTTGCGTCAATCACTGCGAAATGAACATCAGATCTTATATAAAATGATGCTTTCGAAGCATACTGGAAAGATACACACGCCAATACCGTGCATCGGGTATTGCTGTCAATGTCCACGTAAGGGGGAAGTCTGGGCTCGTAATTTCTCACATTGGTTTCTTGGAGAGCTATGATATCCGGCGAGTTCTTCATCGCAAGGAGCCTAAGAACGAGATCAGAATGGCACGGTCGTAAGACTTGACGTTCGATTGAGAGAAGCAGACGATAAGCAGACAAGTGTAACTTTCGAACCTTCAGAGCAGTTTGAGCACCTCGAAGAAACTTCAATACTGTGTCGTGAGCTTCCAGACGCGCCTTTCGGGGTCGTATGAAAAGACCTTTACAGTAATTGACCGCCGGTAGAAGCAACTGGGAGACTTCAGGTGCCAGAAGTGAAAATATAGCGTGTATGACGAGAATGTCGTTTCACTGCTACTCGACGGCTAGAGACAGGTGCCATCACAAATAAAATTGAATATTAAGTTTCTCGCACAAAAATACGGGTAAATTAAAAAAACTCTACCGAATGATAGATTTATAAGATTACTTTTGTTGTGTCACAAAAAGTTTTTGTCGTTCAAGAGGTTCTTGCACGAATAACGCATTGCTGATAAATAGCTCTATTGAAATATTGTATGCCTAGTTTTATCAATGCCATGTCTTATGGCATGCAAGTGCCAGCAGGTGCATTTTATCTGAACCAAGCTCAAACTGGATTAGCTTGTGTTGTGGAGCAGTGACCATAAAATCATTGCCATCAAGAAAATTGATTCGGATCACCCTGATTGTGATTAAAAGTTCCTATGTGACACCGGTATTAATCGATCTAGTCGCTCTGTTCAAGAGTGTGCCTGTAATCTTCACAGTATCAGTTGCCCAAGGTGATAGGGAGAACGTCAGCGAAACAAAAAACCCCAGCACAAATAATTCTGCCGTCTGATGCAGTTCTTCGTCAACGTAACATATATTTCTGTAAAAGGCGAAGTCTACTAGCAAAAAAATGGAACCGCCATGGGAGCAACTATATCAGCCTCCGTGCCAAACTTGACAAAGTAGCATATCAAAACATCCTCGCCGCGGTGGTCTAGTGGATAAGGTACTCGGCTGCTGACCCGCAGGTCGCGGGATCCAATTGCGGCTGCAGTGGCTTCATTTTCAATGGAGGCGGAAAGGTTGTAGGCCCGTGTGCTCAGATTTGGGTGCACGTTAAAGAACCCCAGGTGGTCGAAAATTCCAGAGCCCTACACTACAGCGACTCCCATAATCATATGGTGGTTTGGGGGCGTTAAACTCAACATATCAATCAATCAATATCAAAACACAAGCTTTGCACAGAATTTCCAAACGACCAAAAATATTTTCGAGATAAGTGGATTACGTCTTTTGCGTAAATAATAGGTCTAACATCGACAGTTTTTTTTGACACCTAAATTCCACCCGGCGGCAATTCAATCACAATGGTATGTAAAATACGTCAATTTGTCTTTTTAGAATTTGCTCTTCAAATGTCAAAAAACAGTTAGACAGGACGTTTGAACATCTCAGTGTACCGAAACCTAAAAGAAGAGATGATATTTGCAGTCAGTTCCAACTACCCGTCACCCTCAAAACTCTGTTGGTGAAGACTCTCCTGCATCACGCTGTGCCATCTGTAGCTAAAAGGAAATGGGAAGAAAAGAAGAAGAAGCAACCACCACCGACTTCTTAGACAATGAACATTGTCCGGCTTTATTCGCTGAGTATGCCAGCGACGTGACGGCCGGAAAGGCAGCTCCCTATCCCTGCCTTCTCCTTCGCAGGTTGGTACTCACAATGCAGCCTCTCCCAAACATGCCTACAATATCTTCGTCCTATACGTTTCAGAAATCACTCAGCAATGGTCTTGGGTGCTGGATTAGAAGGGCATCCAGGTGGCGCGCTGAAGCGTTTCAATGATCGGGTAACATGTTTGGCAAACCAAACGCAACTGGCTGCGAAAAGAAATATTCCCCGTACTAGCAATTTTGAGCTTCAGCTGCTCACCGTACATTGAAGTGACGTCAGGAGTTTCATAGTCATCAGTCTCAGGGTCAATTGTTTTACTTTATGTGATTGTAATTATTGCGCGTATGCACGTGTACGGTAGTATTCACATCATTGTCTTCTTTATATTAAAATCAAGTATGACAAAGATCATTGCTTGTTACAACTGGACTTGGAATGCTCTATTAGCTCTATTATTCGATGTTTCACTTGTAAGTAGAACTTGAATGTGAAAAAGTGTGTCCACATTTCATTTAGAAAAATATTATTGCAACTGCCTACCAGATAAACAATACCCTGATAAAAACAGACCTAGAAGATAGTACTTAGGTTTTACGTTATGATCTGGCTACCCATCGTCCGGTCATGTGGCTGACGTAATTGTTAATGTTGGTAGGAGACTCAAATTTATTGAGCAGAATCTCTAATGTTCGTAACTATGTCCCCCCTCCAAAAAACATTAGTCCGAATTTTATGTTTTACATCAATCTCGGAATACGCGTGTGCTGTCTTGGACTCTGCTGATAATATTTATTAGTAAACGGGAATGTATTGAAATTAGTGCTGCTAGGTTTATGCTGGGACGGTACCAGCAATATTAGCGGAGCGAAAGTTACATGGGAATGAAACGCATATTAACTTACTTCTTTCCTCTACATGGAGGAAGTTGAAGCTCAATGTTTTATATCTCTTTTACAACACCCTAACACTTCAATTAGCAGCGAGAAATGTCTCAAACTGCCATCCGACATTTTCTAAACCTAAAGACTATCGTTCAAAAAAAAACGTGAGTGCTGTGTGAGAATGGACTTAATTGCTAACTCTTTTTTTATTGCTATCATTCTGCGGAACCGGCTGTGGGTAGAACAGGCGCACTGTTTTAAGGAATGCTTATTTGTTTTCGCCTGTAAATTCATGCTTTAACACCTTCGGGCAATGCAAGACGATCCTTGAATAAAAATAAAGTAAAATATAAAATTTTGTATGGACCCGCACAGTCGCTCCGTGAGGGATAAAGTGAATAATAGGTTCTGGGTAGATTTCTGTCACAAATGAACGGTATAATTGAGTCGAATGGCGTCGCGAAGTTCTCTAGATACGTCTACAACCAGAGTTTCCTTAGAGCCGCATACATCTGAGCGCACGGGTTCAGTTACACTGAAATGTAACATGGTACTTTGCAACTTTAATTATAGTGCTGTTTAATTAGTATACAAAATTCTGTATTTCTGCATACAGACATTACTTATTTTTAGTTGTCATGCTGTTCTCCTTTCAGTCTCCGCTACGATTAAGCCCTGTTCGTGGTGCAGGTGGGGTAAGTGTTTCAACTTAAAAGAATACATCGTTTTTGAGGTTCATGAAATGTTCCTCATATTGTTTGCCGGCCACTAATGACAACCGGCCTCATGGCACTAAAGTGCTGTGAGTCCGTTTTACACTGATACTAATTGTGCGTGGCTCAAACTATCTAAACAATAACATACAGTTAGTTTAGATCAGTAAAATATGACGGCTCTAAGAAATTAAAGGGTATCATTGAGACTTACGCCATAATGAATGTCTTAAGAAATTTTGACTTCTATAGTCGCCTTATAAACCACGTAACTTTAATAATTGGGTGTAATTTCGCCTAAACGCAACTTTGTATTCTATAACATTGAAGATAGGGCTCCTAAAATTATATATGCAATGGAATGGACAAAACTTCACTTCAAAGCTGCAGATAGCGGCGGGGCCCAGGCCACACGGGTGGTGACGTTGTTAAAGTTTAGCCTTTCCACCCCTTCGCTGGCCCGCTGGATGGCCAAAATGCAGTGTCTAAATTCTAAGCTAGCCAGTGCACCAAGACAACGCGTCTAAAAGAGGTCCGGGTCTCGGTAACCGAAAAAATGTGAAGTATGTGGGCATATATAAAGGATGCGTTCTATGTCGGCATGTTCAAGTTTACAAAGGATACAGCCTGTGCTGCATATGGTTGAGGCGCACGAGGTTTTGAAATGTTCCTGGTTTTAGGCGTCTCCAGTGTACTTCTTGTGACCTATCTGATCTATCGTGGGGTGGTGAAGGTATCTTCCTTACTTTTTTTGTAGTGGGTTAATATGTCATGGAAGGCGAGAAGATGATCCTCGTCATAAAACTCGGTTGGTCCCCCTGGGCGTATGAGATATACCATCCTACTTTTGTGTACAGAGGCGTTACTCGTTATAAGATTGAAGCGGTATGAGCCTTAGGACAGGAGAAGACGACGCACGAGAGCCGCGGCAGGAAAGAAGAGAAAGATGAAGTTAAGAATAAAGCAGATTAAGATGGGCACCAGTTCTATACTGAAGCTATAATGCTGTTCCGTTCTTTTAAGTAGGAACGCTACATTATTTTGGTGCAGCCGGCCACCGAAACCAACTTACGGGGGAAGTTTTTCGTTGACGAGACCTCCGCGGACAAGATCATCTTTTAGAAGTACCAAGTTCAAGATGAAGCGGCTGATGAAGAACTCGTGAACTTGGTTGTGAAAGAGGCACCCGTGGAAACTACTGAAATACGACGGAAAGGTGCTGTAAAGTGAACTTGCATGTGGAGGCCTTCTACAGCCTTGTTTTTGAACCAGCGCGTCGAAGAGACTTAGGATTAAGGTATTCGACGGAAGAGGTGAGCCTCGTTTTGAAAGCTTTTCAGCTACAACAGGAACAGATTGTGCAACAGAACCAAATATCGCCATCCCTTATAAGCTCTCTAAATGCTGAGCAACCGGTGCCTAAATTCGTAGAGCCTGATGCCTTCGACGGTATGTCTTCAAGTCCAGGCAGGTGGCTTGAGTTCTACGAATATGCCACTGAAAAAGTCAAGTGGCTCTCTGGCGAGGATAAAATCACTAACATGCGTGTTTACTTGAGAGGTGTTGCGTTCAAGTGGTATAAAATATGCATTCAGGAAGACAGTGTTGACTCTTGGAGTCGGTGGAAGAAGAAACTTTTGACCGCATTTCGAAGCAATCTAGTACATAAATGGATTACAGCACTTAATTTCAAGTCCAAACAAAGCTCCCTTGTCGAGTACTTCTTCGAGAAACCCCGTTTTAAAGCTAGCTGAGCCTTTGGTTCTATCTACGGACGTAGTAGCCTTAATATACCATGGATTACACGCTGAAGTCTTGAAGCAGGTGCCAATACAGTAACCAAAACTCTAGATGACCTGCTGGAGTGTCTTCAGAACATACCATTGACTCCGGAAACAAGCATAACCGCTAATTCAAGCAGCTCTTTCAGTCGAAGTAAAGCAGACTGGTCAAGCAGCAATCAATGAAAACCAAGCCAGCTCACAAGTAACACAGATAACTTGACCTGGCGCGCTCCAAGAGGTCGAGTGATTAATATCGACACTGAAGATCAGGAGGATTCGACAAAAAAACTAATAAAAGAGGGTGATCAGACCCACCCGATGACTCCAATGAGACTGTTTATTTAAGTTCATCTAGCCTACTGCACATTCCCGTCAAAGTTGGAAACAAGCCGATGATGGCTCTCTAGACAGCGCTACATCTGTGTCTAATATAAATTCAAAGACGGTGGATGCATGTCGCATCAATAGTGGAAGAGTCCTAAGGGTACAAGGCTATGATGATAAAGCAGCATTGCATGATAAGTGGACCTTCGCAAACATCGAGTTTCAGGGTCAGGAAATTGAGAGCGAAGTGTTGGTTGTAAAGGGGGTGACGTGAAACTTTTTGCTATCAAGACCAGATATAAAGCAAATAAAGGTTAACATATACTCGGACGATGTGGTTCTAGTCAAGGCCATAGCAAAGAACTAGGCATATCAATGTAGACAAGATAACCTACGAGTTGTAATGTGCGCGGAAAATATCGCAACGACCTATCCTGAACTTATATACAGAGAAAACTATCCTCAGGAGGTGAAGTCATACAAGGTTCCTTTTGAGCTCGCTGACAAGACCATCATCCCAAAATCACCTTACAATATGTGAAGAGAGCGAAAGTTTTGACTCAAGAAAGAGTTGCAGGAGACGCTAGATGCTGATATTATACGAGCATCGGTATCACCCTTCGCTTCTCCCATAACGATCGCACCGAAAGAAGACAGAACCTTCAGATTATGCACCGACTACTGGGTTCTCAATCGTCACACAGAACTCATACTATTTCTCATGCCAAAGATCCACACAATTATTGATGAGACTGGTGGTTGCCGACATTTCTCCCGCCCCGATTTCTGCAAAGGCTTCTGGCAGATTCCACTAACCAAAGAAACAAAAATGTACACAGCTTTTATTATGTCATTCGACCTCTACGAGTATAACCGACTTTCTTTCGGTTGGAAAAACTCGCCAGCGTTGGTCCAGAAGATCATGATTGACTTGCTAAGGCCATTTCTTTGTGTTTTCTGTATTGTGTACATAGACGACATAAGAGTCTTCTCTAGAACAGAGGCTGAGCATCAGGACCATCTGTCTGAGATGTTAAGCTCCTTAAGCTTGGTACATCTCAAGGTTAATTTTAAGAATAGTGCATTCTTTCAACTAAACGTTGTGTTTCTTGGATGAGTCTTCGATGAGAACACCAAAAGCACAAAACAAGAGTCCGTCGAAAAAAACTCCCAGTTCAAGAAACCATATGACGTCCGTTCACTGAGTGTGTTTTTGGGATTGGCAGGACATTTCCAATCTTTCATAAACGATTTTGCTGTCAAAACTAGATATCTCACACGTCTAACACAGAAGGACGTCTCTTTGACTAGAGTGACAGTTGTGAGAGAGTGTACCATAAAATAGTGCACAGAATCTCTTCTGACACTGTCCTATGCCTGCCACTTCACTTTACCCTTTGAATTGAACACTGACGCGTCACATTATGGGACTAGTGCAATGTTGTATGAAAATTTGATTGAATCATCCAGCCGAGAAAAGCGACACGTAGTAGGTTACTACAGTAACACGTTCAAGCCATCTGAAATAACTACACTACTACGAAAAAGGAAGCCCTGGCCGTTCTGAATACAATTGAATACCTTCATACATACCTGGAAGGCACGATGTTCACTTTGCTCACCAATCATCAGGCCCTCACTAATCTCTTGAATATGACCCAAACAAAAGGACGTATTGCTGAATGGATGAATTAATTGCAGCAATTTGACCTTACCATCTCGCACCGACCAGGACCGCTTTTAACCCATGGAGATGCTTTATCAAAGTTGACGGTACGACGCAACATAGAACAATCCAAAGAAATCAATGAAGTGAAGCTCTGGAAAGGCTCCAAACAACTGGTTTTTACTGAAGTTCGGTGTAGAAAACAGATTGAAGATGGAGCTCGGAGGCGAGGAAGAAGAAGTAGCCAGGGGCACGCTCTGCATATTTTTTTTTTCTTGTTCTGTCAACAATGAACCGAAGACGTATCGGTTCTGCGGTCTCCCTGGTCCTTCTGAAACATGGTGCCGTGACCAGGATGATCTGAAGACAGACGCACAGACTTCAACCCCATTCGCAACAACGGGTTGAAGAACGAAGCAGCGGCGTCTGGCTCAAGGACAAACCGTCGAGAGAAGGACCACGACCGACGACTGTTGGAGACGCACATAAAAAGGCAAGAGCTCTTTCAACACGTTTTAGGCATGAATAAAGAGGTCCTATCGAAGAAGCGGAAGACGCTTCGAGCAAATGTGACGACGCTTACGAGCGAAATCGATAAGAAGATAGAAGAAGACGCCGATCGAGCGCAACTTAGGACGCTTCTGAACCAGATGAAGAGCGCGTCACAGACGCTAAGACAAGTTAACGAACAGATAGAACCGTTCATTGAAGAAGACGACGCGGAGACAGAATTTGAAAGAGTTTTGCATTATGAGATGAAGATCGTCGCTGCAACGACAAAAAATGAGGAGCGATTACGCGAGTTAGAACAAGCGACGCAACTGACTACGAGAATAGTCACAGAACAGGCGAGTTCAGTGCAAGGTACTGACCAAATCTCGGAGATGCAAGAGCTTGTTAAGTTGCCACGTCTTGAGATGATCAAGTTGTATGGGAAAAAAACAGCATGGACAAGGTTTTGGCATCAGTTCGAGACATCGGTGCATAACAGAGCGAACATGCCGAAGAATAAAAAATTTAATTACCTTCTGGCGTCTCTGAGCGGGGAGGCTGCGTCCCTCATAGAAGGTTTGCACTTTTCTGATCAGACTTACGAGCATCCAGTCGCTCTTTTGAAAGAAACCTTTGGACGAGAAGATAATTTGAGAGAGACCTACATAAAAGAGCTTGCAAACTTGGAAGCAGTGAAGAGTCCTAAAAATGTAGAT